GCCCCTTCTCCAGACCCCGCCCCTTTCTCCAGACCCCGCCCATTTTATCTGCAAGCCCCGCCCCCTTTTTGTTCTGTTTCCTGTTTTACATTAAAACGACCCAAAATGGAGGGGGCGTGGTCTCTGCTTGGGGGGGCGGGGCTTGGGCTGATCCATTGCGGGGGAGGGAGGGGGGTGGGAAGAGCCAAAAAAACCAAAAATTCCTCCAAGGAACCCCAAAATCCCCGCAAAAATCCCCAAAATTCTCTCTCAAAACCCTGAAAATTCCCCCAAAATTCTCCTAAGTTTTCCTTAAAATTCCCATAATTTTCTCTGATCCCCAAATTCCCCTTCATGACCCCAAAATCCCCAATTTTCCTCCCAAACCCCCCCAAAAATCCCTTTGGGACCCCAAAATTCCTCCAAGAAACCCCAAAATCCCCTCAAAAAATCCCCAAAATTTTTTGTCGTAACCTTGAATTTTCCCTAAATTTTCCTTAAAATTCCCATAATTCCTTTGGACCCCCAAATTCCTCTTCATGACCCCAAAATTTCCCCAAAAATCCCCAAATTTTCCTCCCAAACCCCCCCAAAAATCCCTTTGGGACCCCAAAATTCCTCCAAGAAACCCCAAAATCCCCTCATTACCCCCAAAATTCTCTCTCATAACCCTGAAAATTCCCCTAAAATTTCCCATAATTGCCTTGGACCCCAAAATCCCCTATTTTCCTTCAAAACCCCCCCAAAAATCCCTTTGGGACCCCCAAAATTCCCCCAAGAAACCCCAAAATCCCCTCAAAATTTCCCCAAATTCCCCTTCATGACCCCAAAATTTCCCCAAAAATCCCCAAATTTTCCTCCCAAACCCCCCCAAAAATCCCTTTGGGACCCCAAAATTCCTCCAAGAAACCCCAAAATCCCCTCAAAAATCCCCAAAATTCTCTCTCAAAACCCTGAAATTTCCCCCAAAATTTTCCTTAAAATTCCCTCTGATCCCCAAATTTCCCCCAAAAATTCCCAATTTTCCTCCCAAAACCCCCCCCAAAATCCCTTTGGAACCCCAAAATTCCCCCAAAATCCCCTCAAAAATCCCCAAAATTCTCTCATAACCCTGAAAATTCCCCTAAAATTTCCCATAATTGCCTTGGACCCCAAAATTTCCCCCAAAATCCCCTATTTTCCTTCAAAACCCCCCCAAAAATCCCTTTGGGACCCCCAAAATTCCCCCAAGAAACCCCAAAATCCCCTCAAAAAATCCCCAAAATTTTTTGTCGTAACCTTGAATTTTCCCTAAATTTTCCTTAAAATTCCCATAATTCCTTTGGACCCCCAAATTCCTCTTCATGACCCCAAAATTTCCCCAAAAATCCCCAAATTTTCCTCCCAAACCCCCCCAATGCCCCCCAGTCCCCGTTAACCCCTCAGTGCCCGCCTTGTAGAGCCGCTGCTCCTCGGGCGGCCGGTGCAGGATGCCCTGCACGATCCGCTTCAGCTCCAGCACGGTCGAGGACTCCTTGGCCTCGGTGAAAATCGTCGTCTTGTGCCGCCGGATCATCAGGAACACGTCCTGGCGGCGCGGCGAGCGAAAAACGGGCGAATTTAGGGCGGTTTTACCCCATTTTAGGCGGGTTTAGGGAGCGGGGCGCCTGAGGGAGTGGGCGGGGCCACGGCTGGGGGGGCGTGGCTGTTAAAAAAGGGAGGTGGCCAGCACAGAAATGAGGCGGGGTTTGCCTTAAAAGGGCGTGGCTAATTAATGAAAGGTGTAATTAAAGCAGGAAAGGGGCGTGGTTGTTAGAATTTAAGGGTTGTTTGCGTAATAAGACGCGGATTTGGGGTAATTGCGGGGCGTGGTTTGCGTGAGGGGGAGGGGGCGTGGCCTCCGTGAGGGGGCGCGCGGCGAGTGGGCGTGGTCGCCGTGAGGGGGCGTGGCCTCCCTCAGCGGGGCGGGGGCGGTTTTGGGGCGAAATTTCGCCATTTCGGGCCATTCCTCCGGGGGCTCCCCGACCCCGCCGGGATCCCGGCGCGTTCCCAAAGCGGGCGAAAGCACCAGGACGGCCCCAAAACCAGCGCGGAGCCGCCGCCGCCGCCTCCTCCCGCCCTCCCGGGGCCTCTCACCATGGCGGCCGCTCCGCCGGCTCCGTCTGCGCCGGGTCCGCCGCGATCCCAGCGGCCCCCGCGGCGCCCGCGCGCGCGCAGAGCCCAGCCCGAAACCTCGCGAGAACGCGCCGCCATCTTGGGAAGGTCACGGCCGCTTGAGGGGGGGAGGGCGGCGCCATTTTGAGGAGGGAAAAAATGGCGGGTGGGATTTGGGGGGATTTGGGGGGGATTCGAGGCGAATTCGGGGCGATTTTGAGGCGATTTCGGCGTCACGCACCGCGGCCGCGTGTATTTCACGCTGCATAAACACTCTCAGGGGCGAACCGCGGCGTTGCCGCGGATTTTTTACCCCGATTTGGCTGAAATTTGAGGAGGGGGCTTTT